TTTGTTTAAAAATTAATTTGTTGTTCATTTATTATCTCATGGTAGGACACCCTAAACTCATAAAATTTAATCCACCCATGATAAAATCTCTATGTAAACAGGGATTATTCTAAAAAATAAATTTTCCAAGTGACTAATCTTCAAGTTCACTGATTTTCCAGCACTTTAAATAAGGCAAACTGAAGTTTGGAGAGTACAATCTTATCTGTATATCAAATAGGAACATGAAGAATCGTACCGGCCATATATAACCATGATGGTTGAGAGAGTGAGACAAGTGGCCAATATAGACAATCTAAGTGGATGTGACAAAATCAACAAGTACATCAAAGCACCCATTCCCTATAGGAGAGACAGTAATAAGATTCTAAACTCGAAGAGGATTGGAGAACATGCTTGAAATATACTTAGACGACCAACCTGAAGAAAATTACGAAATATCAAGTTTAAGTCATTTTCTATCACACGCGACGCTTGTTGACAGTTTGACCCAAGCTTTCTAGTCAAATCACCAACTGTTTCAGAGTTGAAAAAAGATATATCCTACAAAGCAAGTAGCTAAAAATAATTATTCACGGTGAGAAATAAATCATGCTTTGTGTTATGAAGACTGATAGTAGAAACCATGTCAAGTCCGCAATATTTTATAGCATATTATTTCAAGAACCTGAAGAAGTGTTGAGTATAATTGTTCTCACTTTGTTTAGCTTCTTTTATCTTCTTCACAGGAACATAAATCTGGAGCAACGAGAATAATTATGAAATACATGATAAAATCATGATTTGGATAGTCTATAATGGAGTTTAAGTAGATACAGTAATGAAATCCTTAAAAAGTTCATTTTGCGAATGACACTCAGACTGGATAACAATTGAATCTTGATATTTTATACCTTGTAAAGAGTTTTGATAAGGGCTTCAGAAGAGGATTGGACAGTAATGGATCTTCACTGCAGAATGCAACCTTTTCTGTAGAGATAAACAAAATCCCAGCAATTGGCCCTGCTGAGGTTGATAAATAAGACTGAGATGCCTTCAATAGCTTCTCTCCATTGATGACACAAAAAATGTCCTTGAAAATGTTTTCTCTACCACCTTTCTTGATTATTTTGGCCCCAACAGTCAACTTCCCCTTCACCGTTTCAGAAAATTTAGTCCCCAGCCTCACTGCAAATTCGCATACCATGTATAAAAGAAATGCTCATTTTTAAACACAACAGAATTCAGCATCCACAAAAGATTTTTCCCTTTACATGTTGAGAATACCAATCTTGAAATCTGTGTGCTCGTTTGAGTCTTAATCAATCAAATTGCTAGTTGGATCTTGAAATGCTTTGTGGGGTTCCCTTAACAGATATTTTACGCGATTAAGATGATTTGAAAGCTCTTTTAACCTAAATACGATTTCTTAACAATTGACTTCTTTCTTTTACTTCTTCAACTAAATTTACTGAAGTCCCCATTTTTTAATGCTCTCTATATCCAAAGCAGTCTATTTCTTGCATCATTTCCGTTGGTAAAAGCTAAATTATCATATAAAACTTACCGTGCTCGTGAATTCTGTAGGCAAAACTATTGGCCTTCCTTTCTAACTTCTTGTTATGATTTCTCACTTTCGTAGCTCGTATCTGTGTGTGAGAGAAATAGAGAGAGGTTTCTTCTTGAAATGAGAGCACAAAGTTGGGGAGGATAATGGAATTCCAACAGACACAAAATTGCTATTTAATGGAAACAAT